GCAGACGACCAGCTCAGGGAATTTCTCTTTTGTTTAGGTTGCTCTTTAAAAGGAGCTGAGGGAATCTCTCTTTACCAAGATGTCGTACGATGTCGTATGATGTCGTAAGTCTTCAGGGTTAATCTGCACTGTTTCGCAACACCTTCCCTGGCGCTGGACAGGTTGGCGGCAAGCTGGATAGCAGCATGTTTTGGTGACCTGGTAGCACGGAGATCAGCTTACCACATCTATGTACCCGTGTTGTTTCTGGCAATTTTTGCTGTGCAGCAATGAAACTCTTTTGTGCAGGGAAGAGTCTGAAGTCCATGCAGGAGTGAAGATGCATCTTGCATCGGCTCTGTCCTCAGGTATGACTTCATCTATGAGGCAGGATGGTGATCAGCGTATTTGGCATGCGGTGATGTTCGCTTTTGCAACCCATTGCGCTGCCCAACGAAATTTGCAACGGCGAAGGGCGAGAGGGAAGGGCAATGGACTCCGTGGTTGACTTTTGTGTGCGCCCCAGATGTGGTATGAACTCTTTCTTTGAAGGAAAGTGAACAAATTATTTCTTTGTGACAACGGCTTTGTGACTTCTTTGCTTTTTGTTTTATTCAGATTTTATCCAGCTAGTGGTAAATCCAGGCTCCAAAGTACACTGTGCCTCCACGTTGCTTAGCTTTTGGGGCGACTTGTTGCTTGGTGCGGATCTGCTTGACCGCCGAGTACCCCTTTATTGGGAGCGTTTTTCTTTCGAGGCTCTCGTCGTGTTCTCGCCTTAGTGATACCAACCCTTCATGAAGCTTTGAGCAAACCTCTGAACCGTCGGAAGGCCAACTGTGGACTCCATTCGTTTGACGCACACGTTCTCCACGCTCCTCTTGAAGGATTTCATGATATGGCATAAGCTTGACAAACCCAACACAGCAGTTTCTTCCTTGATTAAATCAGATGAAATGATGTGATCTCCTTTCTTCCTTCTCCTTTCTTTGTGATCTTGGCGGCTTGCCATGTTTGAAGGACGAGCATGTCATTGTTGCTGGAGAGACTGGCACTGGAAAGTCCGTTTACTTGTCGCTCTGGCCTCGGTTTAGGGTAAGAAATCGAATCTTTTTTCCCTGGGACAAGTGCCAGTGGTTTCGTTGACTCAGGTTGTGGTTGCAGAAGGATGCTCTAGAATCCATCATCCCGCTCTCTATCAATTTCTCCGTGCGGAACTAAGATGAACTAGTACCAGGAGAAAATCAAGCATTTAGTTTGATGGATGTGTTGCCTTTATGTCATGGCATTCTGCACTAATCCTCATTGCAATCTTTTTGTCAGCGAATCTAATTGGCAAAACTGTCGGGCAAAAGAATACCTAACTAACAGGAAACAGTTCTGAAAGTAAACAGATTAAACAGCAAACAGTACCCGTCTGTTGCAAGCTGTGTCTCAGCGATACAGTTGCCACACTGCAAAGCCAACTTTTTCCTCATCTGGAGCCGCTGCGCTGCCCCCCTATCCTAAGGCTCAGACACATGTGAACCAACTGCAGGCGGATTGCTGGTAAACATACTCCAGAAGCAGCAAAAGGTTGGCAATAGCATTCAGATGCATTTGGATGATTTGGTTTTTGCTTTGCGTGCCAATTCTATTGCGGTGGGTAAGCATGAGCTGGTGCAGCTAGTCACAATTTTTGATTTCACTATCAGAACTTCGGGAAAACACAATGGAATCACACCACAAAATGCATCGTTCGACTCTCGTCTTTGTAGGATCTGTTGAATTCGAAGTTTGAGAAGAGGCGACATGGTGTTTACGGCCACGGTCTTATCCAACGTGCCAGCGCACTGTGCTTTTATGAACGCGCAAACGTTTCTGCACCGTTTAGATTCTACAAGTCATTACCACTGACAATCTGTCTCACTTGAGAGTTGACACATCCCATTGGAATCACAGTGTTTGTGTATAACTTCAAACCCAGGTGTCTTCAATCACTATAGCTTAGCTTGTCCATCAGCACTACTAGATAGCCCTGCAAAGTTTGGTTCCCAAGGGCCACCTGCTGGCGAGAAGAATGTCATTTTCATCGATGATCTGAACACGCCAAAGAAGGTGGAAGGGGAATCAATGAAAGTCGATTGTGAGTTCCTGAAGTCCAGCTGTGTGCCTCGCACTGCTACATGGCATTATGATTCCTCCAGCCATCTCACGCAATGTTTAGACAATTCTGTTCCCTCACAATCCCCCAGGAGTACTACGGTGCTCAGCCACCCATCGAGCTAAGCAGGCAGTGGATGGATTACAATGGCTGGACACCAGACCACCAACACCCCAACCATAAGGAAGATCGACGGATGTGAATTTGTCAGCTCGGGCAAAACCTCAAATGAAGGCTTTGGATGGCCATGAATTACGTGACCACCATGGAGATTTCTCCTGTGAAGTTGAACCTTGAAGCTGAAGAACACTGTCCTGACACAGTTTCTTTGGCTTCCATGGTGCCATTCTGGGACAGCTCTGCCCTGCTTGAAAGGTCTTTTCTCACACAGACCATCCAAGTTGATTCGTGTAAGCTTCCAGGTCGATGGTTCGTCAAACGTTGAATGTCTCCATCTATCCTCAGATCAGTTGAGCATTCTCAAACCACTGTAACCGTTGCTTGTTATGGTGTTGACATGCTTGAAAGGGATTTGAACCACCTCTCGCATGGAAATCCCTAGTATGACCTGCTGGCAAGAGCATTCGTGAATCATCATGGGTTGTGGGTAACGTGTTAAAATGATTTAAAGTTGGATTTGTTAAAGCGAAGCTCCGTGGTCATGGCGGCAGCTCGGTCATGGCTTGCAATTGGTGTCCTGCTCCTTCCTG